ATGACATCTGAACGGTATGCGTTTAGGTTCCAAAGCTTTCCGTCGTGACGTTGGCTCGTCCACCAGAAGGGGTTGCTCTTCATGAGCTGGTAAATCTTGAATTCGCTTCTAGTTCGGAAGCCCTTGTCGAAACTGAGCGTACTCCTGTCCTTTTGGAACAGAGTGTTAATACGAGGCAATCCACGGTCCCAGCTGTCCTCCAAGTCTTCCAAGGTCAAACGTCTGTTTTGCTGGTTTGCCTCTAATCGCTTTTGAGAGTACTCAGTCCAAACCCTCTGCGAATCGATAAATTCGGCTTCCCACGGGATGATATATCTGAAAATATTGGGAATGAGCGTCTCCTCGTCGTGCGTCATACCAGCTCTGAAATGACTAACTCCAACGTCCGTCTGTTGCGAATAGCGCTTGTCGCTAGCTGGGATAAGAATGTGCGAACCAGAGATCATTCCGAGACCACCAAGCTCCTTTGGTGTGTAGAAAACGGCGGGAGGAAAACGTGACGGCATCTTTGAGTTCAATCCGATCTTTACCCGGGTCTGAATTTTGGTCTCACACTTAACGATGGTATCCAACAAATTAACCGTCGATACAGCAGCCTCACGGTAGTATGTGAAAAGCGCAATGAGGGCTGTGTTCCACTTATTGGCAATCTTAGTGAAGGTTGTTGATCCCGAAGACATTAGAATTTGACGAATTCTGTTGTTGAATTTCTGGATGTCTTCCTCCGTAACTTGTAAAAAGGCATGCGCCGTCCTCTCCTTCGTGGTATTGTCCACGAGAGACCAAACACTATCCTTGATAGGGAACTCGTCATTCTGATTCCTGATCTTCGGTAGAATGCGAACCTCGAATCCGCACATGGAGAAGAGCAAGTTTGGATTATCACGGCTATAGACGCTGGCGAAGGTATCGTCCCACTCAATCGTAGTAACAGATCGAGGGAGACGGTTCTTCAAATCCCAAAAGACGGCTCGGCCAAGGTTGACGTCGTGCCTCATCAACCGCATACGGGAATCTCTCGGCCAGCATTTCTTGCTCTTGTAACCGATGACGTTCTCAAAATTCGGGTCGGGCTGCTCTGTTAGGAACCGTTGGATGAGATCTCGCGACTCCTCCGCCGAGAAACGCAAGAAAACCCATATCTTGTCGATATATCTTGTATATAGACGGATAGGGTGCTTGGTCTCCGTCTCACGGTCGCGGAACTGAAGGAAATCATTAGGGGCGGATGGTGGGCCGGCAATTTCGCTAGCTCGGTTCAAGCCGAGGAGTAAGAGGTCAAGAACAAGTCCGTAGTACTGGAAGACAAAACCAGAGAACTGAAGACCGCGTATCATACCGTAACTGTTAACATGGTTCATGTCCTTGTAAGTTAGCTGTACGTTGTTCTTCGAGCTGATGTAATCTGCCAAGTTGTGATCCATGATCAATCTTAGGAGTCTGTTAAGGAGGGTGAGGTCTATCTTTTCATAGACCTTCGAGAGCTCGGTTTCAATCATCACGTTGCACTCGCCATCTGCAGTCTCCCAAACCTTTTCTAAGTTGTTGATGCCCTGAGCCCACTTATACACTAGTAAGGGTGGCACCTCAGAATCCGAAGGCTTGATCCAGGCAGGGAAGAGGTGTCGCTGATCGGCCTGGTACCAAAGATACTGGTCAAGGTAGGCATCGCTGATCTTTTCTATCGGCTCTATGTCGTAAACGGGATTGATAGTGCTGTAATTGTCGTTCATATCAATTTGCACTTCCTTGAAGGCTCGCTGCGTGAGCAGGAACCGCTTAATCCTCTCTAGAGTAGTACCGGGGCTATCATAAGCTTGTTCAATCAAAGCTAACTCTTCTCGCTGGCTTTGGTTGAGGCGACCTTTCACGGAGTATGCCTCTCGTAATCTTTCGAGAGCAAGGATTAATATTTTCGTATCGTGTTTGTACGATACACTTGGGAAGGGAATCGGGGTAAACTTTCGCGATTCAAGCCAGTGCACCGTGGTTGTGTAGATCGCCACGGCTTCCTCGGACGACACATAAGGTCCGTCCTTCATGTAATTATGTTGCCTCTCTTGTTCGGCCTTAAGCCAAAGACGTGTCAAACGACCTACATTCTTCTTCGCGACCGTCTTATCGACAGTAGCACCTCGTCGGATACGCTCACGGTTGTAATGAGCAACCGAAATCCACCAGTCTGCCTTCGACTTGACGTAGCGGAGAATAATGTTTTCAATAGGTGCAGGTAAGCCGGGGACTTTCCATGGAATGTTACTCTTCCAACACCTCCAGGCTTCGGATAAGTGTTGAAGAACAGTGTTAACCTTGTTTTGTTTGATACCCTCGGGCATCATGTCCATTAGATCGGCCATTACGGAGGCTCGGAGTTCAAGGTCGAAGTGCGATTCAACACGTTGCTTGGTCACGGTCTTGGCTACACCTTTACTGTGGCGTCCTTCGAATTGACGCGATAGCAAGTTTCCAAGCCATCGCTCAAGAAGGGGAATAATACCTCTCATGAAGAAGAGCCAGACACGCCAGGCAGGCGCCCAGAAACCACATCCAGGGCCCTTACCAACAGGCCCACTGTTGAACCGATAGTAGATAAGATGCTTCAGATCTTTGCACGACCGGATCTGATGCATGAGCTTATACTTGTAACGGTACATACCAGTCAGCTGGCCAACATGGTTAAAGGCGTAGAGAATGCCGTCCGCTAGTTGGAAAGCATCAATGTTACCCAAACGGTATTGTACCTGCGCGTCGACGATGAGCTTCGTGAGGCGTAATATTTCACGCATTAAATGGAAAGCATTTCCGAACCGCGACTTCTTTCGCTCCTTCGTCGTTAGCGTTTTCACGGGCTTAAGATTAAAATTGTAATCTAGATGGAGGTATGTAAGATTCTTTCGGTGAATTAAGAGGTTCAGCATGTTAAATCCCTGCCGACAAACTTGAAGACCAGCTTCAACCCAGTCAATCGTCGTCTGCTGGAAGAACTTGGTCTGCTTCAAGCTCTTTAGGAGACTTTGGCGATTGAGCGCCTTCGGCTTCTTCTTATGAAGCTCATTAAGAACGTACGTCTTGAGGAGCTTCTGATACGATACTCGGACTTTGACGGGCTGCTTCGGAGGACAGTGCTCAAGGTACCACTGCTTCACAAGCGGGACATCTTGCGCACGCACCATACGACCGGACCTACGATCGAATGGGAAGGGAGCCCACCAGAGGGCAATAGCAGATGATGTATCTTCGGTGTAGAGATCCTCATCGGCTAAGAAAGGCTCAACACCGGCTGGTAGTTCGAAAGTGTCCTCTTCGGGCTCTTCGAGGTTCCCGGTGCCGAATATCTCGTCCTCGTGGCTAATGGTAATATTCTTTGGCGCAACCGAGCGGGAGGAGATGGGATTAATCATAGGGTCGAAATGGAATGCGGGCAAATTAGGGTCTTCAGACTTAGTATACACGATTTGAGGGTGAGAGTACCAGTTAAACTGGACGCTTCGGGGAAGAGAGTTATAGAGGTAAGGATAAGCGACCCGGTACTCGGTCCGGATGGGAAAGCGGAAGATGATTCTGTCGATGGCGTTGAACTCCCCGAAGTCCTCATCGTTCGGATCAATATCCTTGTACAACGGTTCGAACCGAGGACCGCCGGGCAGTGCAACGTTTAACGCTTTAGCAGTAAGGAAACTCTTCAAATCAAAGAGGTAGAAATAGTTCTGGTCGACTATCTCACTTAGTAACGGGCGACTCAGTCGGTGAAGCGCCGCCATCTGCGGCAATGTGAGATTCCACTGCTTGTAACTCGGCCCATTGACATGCTCGGTATCAACTAAGGGCCGATGGTCATAAAACCATTCATAAACGGCAGCGTCTTCTTCCTCGTCGAGCTCCATCTGAATTGGTTCTAACGGTTCCACATCCTCAATATTCTCCGACCAAGACAGCGGAGGTTCTTCGTCATCAAACGGCGGGAATCTCATCCTCTTGAACAGTCTCCTGTCACTCTTCTCCTTTCTCATCGTCAACCACATCGTGGCCCATTGCGCGTGGAATACGGGCGGAATAACTCGAGGAATCTCGTTTACGAGCGTGAGGCATCCGTTGACATGGTATAACACTTTAACTTCCCTTGCCGATTCCCACGGCATAGGCATGTTCTCCAGCAACTTCATGACCGCGTGAGGCATGAATTTTAGCGCACCAAGATAGCTTCGCTTGTCGCTGGTGTACTTTTTCTGAGAAACGTCACCAATATCCTTCACGATCTTACGTAGATGCTCAGGAGGCATATCAGCCTTCTGAGTCTCTACAAACCCTCCCTTGCGCTTCTCGCCAAAGCGATTTCGCTGATTTCGAAGCCATTCCTTCTTCTTCTGCGCAAACTTCGCGGTCTGCAGGTCGGTTGGAGGCCGGTATCCAGGGGGGGGAGGAGCTGGAGCTCCAGGCGGTGGAGGAAGAAAATCTGATGGGGGACCTGGTGGAGGAGGAGGCGGCGGAGGAGGTCCCCATCCGGGAGGAGGTGGAGGAGGTTGGAAAGACGACATCTTCAAGTTGATGATTATCAAAATTACGCGACTTTTTTTAGATGCTGTCGCTATCGCGGCGCGATCTGTCGCGCGAGGATGCTAAGGACGCCAAATACAGCCGGATAAAGGTGTTGGCTCCTAACAATCCTGAAATAGAAAATTAGAGTTAATGTTGTAACGGGGCGCGTCGTCTCCCTGATTGACCGACGCGAAAAGAAGATTAAAGTTGTTAAAGTGATGGAATGCCTCAAAGGTTAAACTTTGTAGGGGCAATTTTTCCTATGACCTTTTAGTCCCCACTCAGACTTTGGCAAGCCGGGGTTAGACTCGATCGATTACATAAGGAACTTTGTCGGCAGGTGGTCACGTGGGTAGGACCAGGTGGCAGGTGGCTTTCGGGCTGGCAAAAGAGGCTAGTACTTGTGGCTAAATCAGAAACCCCATACCACAATTCTCATTGGTTCAATCGATAAGCGGGCTAAAGATCCATCCCACACATCTCTTCCGTAAAAACACCAAAATTCATCCCTCACAAAAAAAAGTTGCAAAGGAAGAAGTCAAACCATTCCACCAGCAACATCAGTCAAAATGGCCAACAACCGAGTCACCTACCGCCGTCGCAACCCGTACGTCTCCCAATTTGATTGAAATATTCATAAAATCCGAATAATTCCTGCTCCTAGGATCGCGTAAAGCTAACAGGTCGCTTAAAGGTACAACACCACCTCCAACAAGACCCGTGTCGTCAAGACTCCCGGTGGTCAGTTGCGAGCTCTTCACATCAAGAAGCGAGGAACCGCCCCGAAATGTGGTGACTGTGGTGTCAAGCTCCCCGGCGTAAGTACCTAATTCAGTTATTTTTGGTTATTTTAAGGAGGGAAACCGAGAAGGGAACCTAGGAAAATTCGAACCAACACCGACTCCTGCGACAACAGCTATCATGTTTCTCTTCGGCTGAAACAATTCAGTATTACCAGCATAGAATCGAATTTGCGCAACTCTTTTCCACTTGAGACATAGATTTTACGTTCGATAAACAACATACAAAGACTCACCATTCAAACAAACACGAGCGTGTCAAACCAATACTAACTATCCATATTAGATTCCCGCCCTCCGACCCCGTGAATACTCTCAGATCTCCCACCCCAAGAAGACCGTCCAGCGAGCGTACGGTGGTTCAAGATGCGGTAACTGCGTGCGAGACAGGATCGTCCGCGCTTTCCTGATTGAGGAGCAGAAGATCGTCAAGAAGGTGCTGAAGGAGCAGAGCGAGGGTTCCAAGAAGAAATAAACTACCGAATGACTCTGGGATGGAATGGTTCGGCCTTCATTGATTTGGTGTTCAGAGGGACAGGGCTGCATGTCATGCGAACGGCTACTGAATAGCCCGCATCTGTTTCTGTTTCTAGGGCTTCTAGGGCTTCTTCTCATGGTCTAGATGATCGGAATGGTATAAACGACATCAGGACTACCACTGTTTATATCGTTCCTCACATCTGCTATGCTGTGACACGAATACCACGACTTAATGGACATAGGCTATTTTCTAGTCTAATTTGGGCGGCGTTGCTGCAAGTCTCGGGGCATGTCAGTATTACTTCACTACGCTCCCCTTATTTCTGAATGAGGAGAACACGGGCGTCCTTCCCAAATCGTAATATTTCCAACGCACAAGAGCTCTATCACTACAGTTTGCTAGTGGTTTCTATTGCGAGACCGTATGTACCGCCGAACCTAAACCTAATACGTAAATGATGTCTTCTAGATTTCCCAAAACAACTTGTGTACGAATAAGTGTCCTGTTTGAAATAAGTATGAAAAGGCACCGTTGCTATTCGATGAGTCTAGTATTTCTTCAACTGCTGCTCTCAGATACATCACAGAGTATGGTAACTATCAAATTTGAAAGTTGTTCCTTTATACATTCCTTATAATTCAATAACATATCCTAGCTAGTATGAAATTGTAAAAATGTTTAATATGGAATTATCCAAAACTATCACAATAGAGAATGAAGCAAAGCAGGATAAAGGTCTATCTACCAGTTACAACGTTAAGATTTGTGCTTATGTGGATATAACACAGTGGAAATGACAAAAGTATATACTGTACAAGCTTCTCCAAAAATGATGACGTTCAACCCACCATATTTTTGCGCAAGCTTCCAGCTCCTCCGAATGAAAGAGAGAAAACTCCAGGTTGTTCAAGGGGTAAAGCGCGATGGAATTTTCCGCTAGAAGCTAACAAAATTAATTACGGCCATGGCTTCTACAACACGAGCTTGTCGGCCTTTAAATCGGCTTACCACGACTTTGCGACAGCCGAGTCTTCAAAGCCGCTGGCCACTACCCACAGCAAATACCCTCCGTACTACAGCCAACTACAGAGTTTTCCCGTACGCGGCATCGCAGTTCCACACTACCGCATCGCGTCGCGCAGACGACGAACAGCCGTCCCGTGCCGACCTTTCGGCCCTAGATGTGCTGGGCAATACGCCGGTGCCCTCCACTTCCGTAGACGTCTGCACGTCGAACGGCTTCTTCCTTAACAGCGGCGCAAGAGTCACAGACGGCTCTGGCGTCCTCTTAATTAACGGCGAGGCATTCGTATGGCGCCCGTGGATACCTCGCGGCGAAAAGAGGCTGCTGAATAAGAAGGGGCAATGGGAGGTGCCGAATGAAACCTTTGGATTGTTTGAATTGCTGTGGCCCCGACCAGGTAAGAGGCGAAATATAGCTATACATTGGTGGGCTTGTTGCTGATCAGTAACGTACAGATTTATTAATACTCGGCCTCGGTCCGGATATCCGGCCTATAAGTCCTGAACTGAGGAGGCATATTAGTAGCTTAGGTTTGAGGGTAGAGATTTTGGACACGGGGAATGCAGCTGCGCAGTACAACTTGTTAGCTACGGAGAGAGGAGTTGAGGATGTCGCGGCTGCGTTGATACCCATTGGCTGGAGAGAGGGCGTGGGGGCTGCTTGAGCGACGTATATGATCGTTCATCGTAAACGTCACACCTATACGGTTCACTCGGGCCTGGAGGTAAGAGTACGCATAGAGAATTATGCGGTTCGCAGTATCGTCAGTCTATGATGGTCTTATTCTGTTCCTAGTTATGGGTCGGACCGTCGCTTTAGTCTTATCCTAGGCTATAGCATTGCCCGTAAATATGAAGGTCTAACTGGCAAAGACTGCATATGTACCTAATATAGGCAAGAGGTCGAGGCAAATATGTACTATATTGTACTATGAGGCATGTATACTATATGAAAACTCAAATACCACTGGGATGTATGTACGTATTAACACGACTTGAGTCGGGAGAGGTGTTCAAGTAAATCGTCAACGCTGTTATTTTATCGATACACTTGGAAAACTCAATATCGTATAATCTACCTGATGTTATCTAGATATGAATATTAAGATAATTCATAATTCATATAGAATCTTGTTAGTTGTACCATTATTTTGTAAAATGATTCGGACGGATAGCTCGTCGCCGTCTTGGCGAAAAAAGTCGGGGAGTACTAAAATTTTTAAGCTTGAGTCATTTAATATTCTAGAAAAGTACAGATATCTCTTTTCGTCTTTTGAGGTTGCCTCAACCATCTTAATGTCTCATCTAAGCCAAACCCGGACTTACTTAGGTATTTAATCAAACCTAGATCAGCCTTGCATATTGTGGCTGATCTAGCAATTTCTTCAAGTTCTAATTGGTCAATGGTAACAGTCCAATAACAGCCTTCTTGGGCAACACGTTGAGGCGCTATGACGATTCAGTGGCTGAAAGGAATATCGATTTATGACATTATTTCTCTCGTCCGATATAATTGGTCTTGGCCTTTCGGGTGCTAAAAGTTTAGCTTAGCTTCAATGTTCCATCGAATCCATCGAATTGTTCATTTCACATGTTATGCTGTACAACTATAACCAAACGGGTGATATCTTATTATTAGATTTCGCAGTTACCTATCTGACAATTAATGGTTTTTTATTTGTCTCGCATCGCACCACCGTATATATATTTCTTTAGGGGGGCCGACATCGTTATCTTATTTTTCATTATCTTCTTTGTTGGTTGCAGCCCAACGAGTGAATCACCTTGAGACGGGATTGCGATCCATTCCATCGTGGGAACATTGAAATATTGCATGAGTCGCATGCCATCTCCTCTCTCCTAGAGCCTAGAGGGAGGAACTGATAAACTCGGATCGTCACTTACGACAATACCCTTGGGCATCACTTACAATACCTCACATTAAAGTCGTGATTTCCCATTACCTCCCAAGTTAGGTGCTCATCTTTTTGACCGCAGGAACTTTTAAGTGGTAAGCCATATTCGCGTATTCAATCTCTTTACCTACATCTGTCCTTGAAAACGGCGCGCGACTCGGGTCAAGGTCCACTGCTATTGCCACTTTGAGCGTATCGCGTTTTCCATTGATAATTGCTTCATCTTGTACATGTTTTTTATCGCAGGATTGTGTTGTTCCCAATGACTTATTCTTATGCAGCCCACCCTTTCGTCAGATACGGGCGAAACGCCCCGGGCCTCGTTATCATCTTAGTGGGGAGTGTATGGTTTTTGTATCGACGAAATCGAATGGCCAAGACCCGGGCCAACGGGGCCGAGTCGAAAGATGCGAACGCCACAGATCCCCCACTGCTCCGGAATCACTCCAAGATAGCCTCATATACTGCACACCGGAGCGGTATAACTTATCCCGGCATTCGTGTCTTCTATCGTCGCCATCCCAAAGCGGATGAGCTCCCCCAGCATCCAGCTCCGTTACCTCTCTTGGTATTTATTCATGGCCTTGGAGGTTCCATCGCCCAATTCCACCCCCTTCTCACCAGTCTCGTCAACTCGGCATCTTGCCTAGCTGTGGATCTACCCGGATGTGGTCTATCCCAGTTTGCCCCAACGTCATGGAATGCGTACACAACCGATGCACTAACCGACTTACTCGAGACCATCATCGACGGTTATCGGGAGAAGGATCAAGGAGTTGTACTAATCGCACATAGCATGGGGACCGCAATTGCGGCAAGAATTGCTAATAAGCAGTCGGCCTTCTACTTACGGCCCCCTTCCCACGTGATGGGGCTAATCGCAGTATGCCCCGTGTCCGGGCCGCCACCGCCGCGGGCCGTGCGTAACATTCGCATGCTACTTTCTCTTCCAGATTTCATCTTCAACCTCTGGCGGGCTTGGGATAGATGGGGCGGCCCCGAGAGCGCCAGCGTTAAGCGTTTTGTTGGCCCCGGGGCAGATCTCGAGGCCCGGCAGCTCCAAGACAAGTTTAATAATGGGAGTCGGACTCCGGTGTTCCGTCGAATGGCATGGGGCGCATTGCCGACATATTCTAAAGACGGTAAAGTCGTCGGGGGCATGTTTGGCGAACCCACTTGGGCCGGCCTAAGTATTCCGGTCTACCTTATTGGTGGCGAGTATGATACTGTCACGCCGCCCACAGAAGTAGAAAAGATTCGCAGCCTTCTCGAATCAGAATCCTCTGAAGGTAGTTCCCCCGATAATATGTCTAACACTAGCGAGGTGGGTGCAATTGTGGACGCCGCAGCCCCAGTGAACACTACAACGGCACCTCGAGCCCATATACCGGAATCGATCGAGGCAATTACCGACGATGATTTTAAACGGAAACAGCAGCAGACGTCAAACGTAGAAGAGCATTATGAAGACCCTACTACGCCTAGGGACCAAGACTCCATCGGCGGTATTCCTGCACAGCCCCAGCACCCGGCTAAGGTCGTTAAAGTCACATTGTTGCCAGCCGGGCACGCTATGCTTTACATGCCAACCACGGTTCGCACTTTAGCAGGGCTAATAGGCGACTTTATGAATGATCATATCACCGGTCGATTTTCACTGTAGGTTTACTCTTTACATCAGTCTAATGCTCTCGCCAGCTTAACTTATCGCGGATAGGGGGTGGCAGCTACAACATCTCTCGCGCGACGGCAAGTGGGACGTTAAAAATCTCGCCAAGTGGAAAAGCGTCCAGCCCGTTTCTAAGCCCATCGGAGGGGTCTTCCGCGCAATGAAGACACTCCGCGAGGTCGATGAAGAGCATTCCCCTAAAGTCTTCACGGCTAAATGGTATGTTTCAGCAAACTACGACGGATGGATTCTTATTAACTCTCCGTAGGGGCCACATAATTAAAGATATTATTGATATAAGTCATGCAGATCCGGTTTACGACCCCAAAAGTTTTGGAGAAGGGATCAAGTACCACAAGTTCCCGACGGTATCTAAAATCCCACCAACAGACGCGGAGGTGACTAGCTTTATCAAACTGGTGGACCAGATCCGGGCGGAGCAATCGGAGCGTGCGACGAATGAGCAAACATTTGTCGGTGTCCATTGTCACTACGGATTTAATCGTACCGGTTATTTCGTCGTGTGCTATCTTGTTGAGCGTTGCGGATACGGAGTCCAGCAGGCCATCGAAGAGTTTGCGGCTAAACGGCCAAATGGTATCAGACATTCTCACTTCCTCGATCGCTTGTACGTTCGCTATGCTCCTGCCATGCGGAAGTGATAGTATGGATTTATCACATTGCATCTCTGGGTCTAACAGGCACTATTCTTCATCGGAGTTGGTTCATTTGGTATTTAAGGATATTTTAAAGCTCGGGTTTAGAACTGGGAACTAGGGATATCAGTGGTAGGGTGAGGGTTTACTGCTATACCTTTTTCTATTTTCTCCTTCTTTTCTAGTGTCTACCCTGTACGACTACCGGAGCGTTTGTATCTCAACGTATAGGCGTTTACCCAATAGAGGGCTGACTATTTGGTTTACTCTGCGTTATGCTGTGCTCGTGTTTCTATCGGGGAGGTTTTTCTATTGGGGATTTATTTCTTGGGCTATATGTATGAGACTATGCTGGAAGGTGAAGAGACGGATTCTAGTTGCGATAAATGTGAATATCGGCGGTATAGGGTAATTAAGTCGCCTTTGTCATAGTTTGCTACGATACATACCCATCAAATTACTTTGAATCGTTCCGAGAGATTATCCTAACCTTAGTATTTCCGCTTCAGAGATGCGAGATAGAAAGTACCTACCATATCACTTTGCACATTTAGAGTTGCTCATGGCTTATGCGTTAAACAAAGCGCTGCTTTTACTTTACTCTAAACCAAAACAGAGGGGTATTATAAAGCGATGAAACCTACGCGATGCAATGAGATTCTGGAAGAAACGCTTGTGTCCTCTCTGGGGAATCCAACCTGCGCCAGCCTGAGAGTAATGCGGGAAACCCTACTCAGGGGTAAATAACTTCCACCACCACGATACCCTATGCGTCACTGAAGCCTTAGGCCGATTTCTCGTTAGTGCCGAGATGCTCTAGAATATTCCGGACTCGAGATTGCGTAGCTCCTTCTCATCGGAGACTTTTATTCTTGTGGACGAAACCGGCGTACTTCCGAACTCTCCTCCCGATCCGGTGCCTTGGTTGGCCAGGTAGCGGTAACGCCTGGGATGCGTAGGAGTGTGGTAGGAAGTAGCCACGTGTTCTCCGATTGAGTCTGGACAGAGCGCGTCTGGGAATAGGGGAAATGGCTGGCGCTTGCCTGGATGGACGAGGGGGCGATTTTCCCCGATGTGGATATTTCCTGGCTGCTTGTCACTATCGCAGCAGTTGCTGATGCAACGCCGGTATCTCCGACATTGCGTGCGCCCTGAGAGTTGCTCGCCACTTGTCGGCTCTCACTGCTTGGGGCCGCATGAAGTGGTGTGTAGAGAGCAGGATTGGGCTGCTCCCATGCAATCCATGAAGTAGATCTGTGCTGATACGCTTGGGGATCCTCGGGGATGGTTAGTACCTAGCTGCGCTAATAGGAGGATTTATACGTTGATATGGGCTTACTATAATAGTGGCAACTCGCCGCCAGGCGCGTTGGCGGAGAGTTTGAGTTGCGACGTTCATTGTGTGTCGGGCCAGTAGATATGGTATATCGATGTAATGGTGAGAAGGAGTGACCGGGGGATTGGGAATACGGATTGATATATATGCGTATACAGTTCCCCTTTGAAATCCCGAGGTACACGTAGAAGATGCTGGATGTGTTTGCTTTGAAGGAGGAGGTAGAGCCAACAATCAACTCTGTGAGAACTCTAAATATGTATTTACTAGTGAAGAAGAACAGACTGCTAGAGATATGTAACTTATCCCCGTGTGTCGTTGAGGCACTATGAAAGGTTATAAAGGTCTTACCGTGAGTGGGTTCATGTCTCTTAAGAGACTACTGTGTTGCTACGTTCATAGTGTTATTATTGTAAAACCCCAGGCGCTATAATACCTATTGAATACAACTAAATTGTTTAAACAACTCTATGGATATTCCTCGGGCATAAAAGTATTGTGCGGTTGCTAGAAAACCTTACTTTTCTTTGTTCCTAAACTAATAAGCTTTAGCGATAAAGTTTGAGGGTGTCAATGTTGGCCATAGACTAGAGTTTTAAATATCATGACCGTTATAGACTTTTCCTAAAGTCTTACCGAGAGAGGGAAATATTGTAATCTTTATTAGTTGTACGAGGACTTCGAGACTGGTAAGCAGAATATTGTCCTGTGATAGTATAAGCGAGGGTATAAATTTTCGATGGGTTCTCTTTCAAAAATTTAGCTTCATCTAAGGTTTGACAGTACTTATGAAGAGCGGAGGGTTCTTTATTCAACTATATTAGGGCATGGAGAACTATGAAACTAAGGAAGATCGCTTGTGGCGGTTGTGTAGTTACCTAGGTAGGGTCTTGGATATCAAGCAGTTCTTTCACTCACTAGGTAATAACTTAGTTGATAATAAGACTTACGTTTCTCAGCTTTCTAACTTCAACCTTCTTCCTATATATCCCCTTATCCTCTAGAACTATACAATAATATAGTTATTTATAAGTGAGTAAAACATGGTAAGAAGAGTACTTAGGTTAGATGAAGAGGATACCACGGTATACTACGGTCGAATATCGAGCATAAGTCGCGACCCCGTTACTTACCTAAACTATTTCTTGAATCGATTATGAATATGCGATTTTGCTGATTTTGTATGGGAACTGGGGTGGCCCCTACCAGCCTACTAGGGTGTCTTGGTAACGGGGTCGCGACTCAACAATTCTCCTTTGTAAGACACTGGTAGGAGTCGGCCACTGAACGTATAATATGTGGTATATGTCGTGCGATATGTACAATACTTACACAATTCCATACCTGTCTTTCCCTCCAGTTAGTTAGGACTTTTTATACATTGCAGTTATGTTTACACTAACTACCTATCTTAGCAAGGATTCAAACAGGTAGGTAAGTACCTAATTACAAGCGTCTTAACCCCTGGCTTTATTTACCGCTTTACCGCTTCACCGTACCCCACGAACTTCGAATCTCTCTACCTTAGGTAGTCTAAGAACGTTCCTAGCAACAAACAACATTTAATTACAATATCAATGTTCATATTACCAACGCTCCTGCATTGTAATATTCTATAGTCATGGAAACCATGGATATGGATTCCATAGACACCTCGTCGCTCTCATCTGCCCCTCCGTCTTCCCCTCCACAGCTTCCCCAAGACCATCCGTTATATGATAAAAGCACAGCTGCACCGCCTCTTACATCCGAGTTATCTGAGCTATCCGAGCTATCCGACCTTCCCGATGCCACGCCGAATGTTTCCGACTCCGAAGAAGAGGAAGAATCCGATACCGACCCTACACAGCCCTGTGATGCGATGTCAGCGAAGATCGCGGCTGATACGCAAAGCTTTTGGCGGAGAAAGCGGAGACGTGGCCACACCTTCGAACGCTTTATGGAAGGGTGGCTTTTAGGGAGGTCAGCAGATAATAAGCTCTCAGGGAGAAGGTTACATCAAATGGTTCGAGTACTTAAAACCCCAAAGGTCCGAGAGCGCTTAGGGAAAGCTGGTATCCGAGTACAATTCGCAGGTGAAGAAGAAGATAAAGAAGAGGCGAAAGATATTGTTCCTGACCTCCGCAAAGAGCTTTCTGCTTTGGTACTTCAACCCGCCTTTAGTAAATTCGAGCCCAAGTCATTCAATAAGCCTGGTGACACGCCCTGTGCCGTCAAAGATGTCTACAATGAAGACCGGATTAATAGCGCTATCCAGTCCTCTCGGACCGAAATACAAGTCACGGCACCTAAGCTCCATGCTTTTTTAACAGCTATACTCGCCAACAAACGAGCTGGCCAGAAGTCGTATAGGGAGGCCAAAATCGACACTGCTATCTCAAATGAAGCTAGGGCATATTTGATTGTTACGTTGTTCTTGGGCGCCTACGCACCCCGACGGTCTGATTTCTTACCTTTATCTATGGGCATATATCTTTACAGCCATAAGACACCGATCCGAGTGATAGATACGTTGGCTCGGTTCGGTATTTGCACTAGGTATAAGGCTACTATGAAGCGGCTAGGTCAGAAGCCAGAGGCCTCTGGTGACGCTGACAATGTGTCTGCCGCTGGCTCCGGCGCCGAGGAGCGCCAACCCGTCGAGCTCTAGTAGTGGTCGTACCTCCTTCATAATATTTCGGTTGTTAGGATTATAGACGGGAGATTTATAAGAAGGGGAGCCCTCAGTACGTGTAGTAACTGGCCCGTCACTGTATTTACTATGGTAGACATTCCCATAAGGGAAACTCTCGATAGATGGGTCTACAGTAGATTCTCGTCAAAGGACGGTAAACTCTGGCTTGTAGATTGGGACGTGGAGCTTGCGTCTATTTGTCTTAAGCAGAATAGCGATCTTAATCATGGCTAAAACATATGATAGGAAAATAACTTCATAGTCATGCAAGAAACTATCAATCTGTATCCTCCTACATTGTATTGACTTACCCGACGGCGCATAGGCGCTCGTAATAATGTTCCGAATAATACTAATTTTCCCACCTATAGGTTATGTCAAACCACAAGCCGTCGCTAGTTATCTCCATAAATGGCGAGTCGATACCTAGGTGGGAACTGCATAGTTGGGGTAGGCGACTAGGCCATTTGATGAATGCTACCTAATAGTTTGACATTTGACACTTCATTATGTCTATAAATAGTCGTCTTGATATTTCTCCATGGCATCAGACATGGTTATTTGGAAAATAAAGAGGCCCGGAAGAATGCTATTTCTTATGTAGGGATATATAACGCTACGTTTCCCGCAGAAATCTGTTAATATGAGACCCTTATTCCTTGCTTTTGCTACCGGGGCTACGGCCTCAACATCGTATCTGGCGTGGACGGCGGACTCGTTTATCCAACACGGCGTTGAACCGACCCAAGGCTATGGCGAAGCAACTCTATATTCAGGGTACGAAGCCGCATACGCGCTTACTCAGAACGAGACGTACGCAGAGTGGTATCGGGGACAGATCGATGGCGCAGTAGTCCTAGAAAACGGCACAATCAAGGACTGTAGAAGCGATTTCTATTCTTTAGATAACTATCGGATCGGTAACAACATCCTATGGTGGTACGAGCGTACGGGGCTCGCAAAATATAAGAGCGCCGCGGATGTCATCCGCGCGCAGTTAGATAGGCACCCGCGGACTGCTACCGGCGGCTTCTGGCATCGCCAGCCCAACTACCCCAACCAGATGTGGCTCGACGGCATCTTCATGGCGGATAGCTTCTACGCGAAGTGGACGCGTTTGTTTGATGCGGAGAACGAGACCGCATGGGACGATATCGCGCGCCAGTACGATAATATCGATGCGCACACGCGAAATCACACATCTAATCTCTTAGTTCACGGGTATGATGAGAGCAAGCAAGCAGTATGGGCAGATCCCATAACTGGTGCCGCGCCGTTGGTATGGTGTAGAGCTGTTGGCTGGTACTTTATGAGTCTGCTTGAAGTTATTCCTTTATTCCCACCGCGCCATCCCGGCCGCGAACGGCTCACCCGCTACTTCACGACGCTGGCGGCCGGTCTGAAGGAAGCACAGGACGAGAATTCTGGTAATTGGTGGCTCATCATGAGCGAGCCGTACCCAGGAGCACCAGGGAACTACATCGAGAGTAGCGCTTCGGCCATGTTCACCTTTGGTTGGCTGAAGGGTATCCGGTTGGGCTTACTTGACGAGAGCGAGTATCTCGAGCCGGCGCTCAAGGCGTACCGTGGACTTATAGAGAAGTTTGTGAAAGTAGATGACGAGGGCGCTCTGAATTGGGAGGGGACTGTGGAAGTTGGTTCCCTAGGCAGTAATGGAACTTACGAGGTGAGTTTTGATCTATCTTATTTACTTACCTGTTTGTCTATGAAACTGATGTATGTATGCTAATTGTGACTGACGAAGTATTATATCTCGATACCCCTGGTTGAAAACGACCACAGGGGAGCTGGAGCTTTCATGCTTGCGGCTTATGAGATAGAAAGACGTTAGATACATATCAATAACTAGTTCTTCGATAGTTTGACGGTATGACTGCCAGGTTTATTACATTAGTCTCGTTCCGGGAATCCACACCATAACTGAGGGCATAGATATCACTTAGAGATATGCAATAAGACTTGCTCTGAGAATCGATGGGTAGAAAAGATTTTGTCGCGTAACAGCATCGTTATCCCTATAACTACCTAAGGTACTTACATATGTAGGTGCTTGCTTAATGTGCTTTCGGCAATCTGCTTCCTAAGCGTCTTTCCGGTCAAGTTATGTAGAAGACAAGCATATCGTAGTTGTACTGTGTATGTGAGCCTCGACATTTCGGCACATCTGAAAGGACAGGGGTAAATCAAGGCATCCAGGTCTTTGTAGGCACCAAGCCTGAAGGATCTCTGGCTCGATGCTACGCTGCCGGTGCTGGAGTTGAAAAATCAGGTTATTCGCGCGCAGGGGTTGAAAAGGAAAAGGGGAAGGAAATGATTTGGTCGTGTTAACGGTCGGTACTATGAAGTTAATATCGTATGTATCGCAGAGCTAAAGATTTAAATTTTTGAGCTGGGAGATCCGCTGTCTTGGGTATGAAAAGAAGAGAAGAAGAAAACTGGAGATGCGATCGGAGATATCCGATCATGAAGACCCACCAATGATTGTGGGGAAAGAGATACATAGGTACAGTAGGTAGATTATGTACCCAAGTACTTTACATACTAGCGTTTGTAAATCTTCAACTCTTCAACTTCAACAATGGAAACATCTTCAGTCAATCTCCAGCCGCAAAAATTTATTAAATTATCCATTATAGATATACGATGATATACGATGTTCAAGCATCCTCTTCCTCGTCGGCGTCATCATCACTAATCGTACTAGTGCCTCCTCCTTGCGCCTCAGCGACAACTTGTGTTTTCACTACCTTTCCCTCAGGCGTCACATAAATATTTGCGACGGCGTCCAGACCCGGGAAGGGTTTGTATTCATAAGATAGCTCGTATTCCGTTTTTCCATCAATGGTGATAGTTCGATTATGACCAGTAAATGTCATATCTTTGCTGTAGTAGCCTACTATCTGGCGGCCGTGCTCGTCACCGTTGTTGTCGAGCAGGGAATCGTAGATGCTACCGTTCTGCGCCAGAATACGGTTAGTGTGTGTCTGGCCGGAATAGTCGTTGACAGAGTAGAGGATGTTGTAGGCTAGGTTATAATCTAGTAGGTCTCGCTTAGAGTTGGTTGCGGCAGCCGTACTTGATGATGAAGTTGAGCTCTCCCCAGGCGAGTCGCTAACGTTTCCGATGATGCTTCCTACGTTCTTCCCGAGCGTCGCGACGATAGGATTCAAATCAATCGTGTTCAGAACGTCCCCAATCATTTGAACAACATTGCCGAGTCTCGCTTCTAGCTCTACCTTCGCGCTCACGTTCTCGATCTTTAGAGACACTCTGTCGATCGAAGCGGATACACCAGCTGTAAAATGCAGCAGATTTAACACGCTGGCGTCGAGATTTATCTTGGCGGTTATGTTATCGACCTCTATATCGATCTCGCCTACGGAGACGGAAGCATTGAGGTATACATCTGGTTCCTCGGGAAGTTCGACGCCGGGCGTGTCTGCCGTTTCGTAATTGACCGACTCTGGATCACCGCGCTTTCTGAGATCATAACCGATATAGCCCTCGCCTTGTGCTACGCAGAAAGCTAGCAGCGAGGAGCTACAGAGCAGCGGGAGTAATAAGTGGTTACGCATCTTATCTGTTGAGTGAGTGTATGGCGAAGCGACAGCATCTTACAAACCTTCTAAACCCCGAGGGCTACTGGCACACCGATCTCATATAAAGTCGAGTGATGCATGCGGGCTATTCAGGCATCAATACCGCTAGTTTTATACCCCTGCTTAATCTAGATGCTTCATTCCAAGTTTTGAGAGATTGCACATAATGTGATGACAGCTCAGCTCCCGGGTTTCGATTCGATGAGACGTGCCGGAGGGGAATCTAGCCACTAGAAACCCACGTAGCCCCTGGCTAACACGGAGAATACCCCAGAACGGTCTTCATGACGATCTACTGTGTATTGTCCCCAAGTTTTCGTCTCACTCCATAATACGTGCCAGGTACCATCTAGACTATCGACAGGGATTATTCAAGCGAGCTGAACAAAGGCTGGCTCTAGCTATCGTGTGTATGCAGTCTTATGCCATAATATATCTACTTACGGGATTTTACCATTTCAAAATGGCAACCCTCCCTCGTCGTAGGTTCCGTCTGGTTGGTATGTACGGTGTTTTGAATCAAGCTTTTTAACTAACTATTTCCTTCGCTAGACAGAGAACCGTTGCCTCTAGGCCTCTTCTCAATTTATCGCCGTCTGACCAGCTCTCCAAAATGAAGCCATTCATTTCTAAGGCTATTGCCTTCGTGCTATTAGCACCCTTCTCGGTCACTTTAGCGCAGACTGCTTCTTCAACATCAGACGCCGGCCCAACAGAAACAGCATCCGAAGGGACCACGTCGCAGCCGCAAGTGACGCCTACAGATACTATCACGGGAGGAGCTGACTCCAGCACAACGTCATCATCGGCAACGGCAACAGGTGGAAGCAGTGGCGGCGATACCACAACGAGCGTCCCTTCATATGGAACTACACCACCGGATGTCCTTTTAAAAGTCCCAGAGCTCCACGTCGGCAGGATTGAGCTGGACGTGGACAACTTGAATGCGGAAATAAACCTAGCTGCGCAAATAGCAAACCTAGTGGAGCTTAACGCAGGAATCCAAGTTGGAATAACCAAGGTGAATATCACGATCGCCGACGTCAACGCCAACTTGGACTTGATAATCAGGCTAGGCAATCTAGCCGATATCGTAAACAGGACATTGGAATCGCTGAATTTAAACCCGCTACTCATTAACGTGCTCAACGAAGCTACAGATCTCGTCGACGTTGTGGTCGGCGCAGTCGACGGTCTGCTTGGCTCGATCGTCAACGGGGACTCAAAGATAAACTTCCTAATAGACAACCTCGGAAACATCGTACAGGAGGTGGAGGGCACAGCAGGCAAACTGTTAAGTACGATCGTGGGCAACTTCGAGCAGAACATGACCTATACCGGCGCGCAGGAGATTTTGGACGGCGGCCTCATCCAGAAGACATACAAATACGACCCGTTATCTGCGCTCGTTAATATAGTGTTCAATGCTGCTGGGCAAGTGGTCCAGGCGGTTGTTTTGAAGGGCAACGGGGGTAGTGGAGGTAGTAGCACATCGACAACTACGGCTGCACCTACAGGTGGAGCCAGGAGATAAGTGAAATATTAATTAATCTATTATAGTAATGGAAGAAATTTTGTATAATATAATTCTTTCAGGTGATTACTATGCTAATTACCAAAGTGATTCTGCGGCTACCTGTTATACTATACTGGGTCATTAACCCCTATGTGAGGTATGATATTACCCCTTATCAATATGCAGGCACGATTTCATCTACGAAGGTTGGGACTAAAGGTCTTGAACATATAACGTCGTATTTAGACGACTTCTACTTCATCGACACTGTATCAACCACCTGCTAAGCCAAAGGTTGGATAGTGGCCTGTACACTAAACCTGAGTAGCTCGTCACTAGATATACGAGACATTTGGTCCCGACCTTCGCTATAGATATAATGTGGTAAACAAATTTACCTAAGATCCAATATTATCCATTTGTTACGTCTATGGCTCGGCTTCAACGACTTCAATAACTTTATGATCCACCCATGCGGCGATTGTTCGCTCGGCAAAAGCGTCCACAATAGTTTTAGGTTGTAAAATATACCCGCAGACGGGCCATATCAAATTCGTCAAGTACGACTTTTTATACTCAATCATGAGCTCCTCGTCATTCCTGTCAAGCTTCGGTCCGCCTAGACTGTGCAGAGTTGACAGGTAGTACTCCAGTATTTCCATCTCATGGGCCCGCCGATCCTCGACAGTCATCATAGTCGACACAAAGTACACAAGATCGTGGAAGCACGAGGCGAAATGGAACGCCGCCCAGTCTAAGAAGCGTATGTGTCCGTCAGCCGTGAAATAGGTATTTCCCATGTGCGTGTCGCCGTGAAGCAGCGTGCGGAACTTGGGATTCCGCCGAGAATAGTACTTCTTCTGCGCTTTTCTAACACGTGCGCCGTCCATTAGATACTCCGGCAGCTTTGGCCTCCCAGGCTCTCGCACGACACTGTCCCAGGTCTCCGTAATGGATAGCATAGCCGGGTCGTAATTGTTATCAATCCCTGGATATTTGTCAGTTATTTCATACGTCAACCCGAGCTCTTGAAGCCGCTTAACATTATACTTACAAGGATAGTCCTCCTGACTCTTTCCCCAAAACTGAGCATGCAATACGGCTATCTGGTGAACACCTTCAAGCACCGTCTCGAGAGGGTAGGAGGCAGCCTCAGATGGAAATGTGCACCCCTCATGCACCAAGTCTGACATGATGGCGATACCTTGCTGGTCGCTTCTTCCTCCCCACCAACCCCTTGGGTACCCCATATGCTTGATAGCCGGCGCAATCTTTGCGAAGAAGTCAGCTTCGCGCTGTGCCATACTTAGAGTCCACGGCTGAGATTCAAACATGGCACGGTCAAACACCCCCTTAACACAAATGTGCGATGGCCGCGAGCTTGGGTCGGCTACTTCATTTTCGTACTCGATGAAGTAGAACAGTTTGGCGCCCGTGCCGAATATGGTTCGTGTCAACGAGACTGACTTGATCTTGTGTCCCAGCTTAGACCCCAGCCATTGAGACGTAATATCGTCAGGAAGTGAAGGGAGCTTTTCGGTAGACATCTCACTCTCGTGTGCCATATTCACAGTCCTTGAGAGGGGAAAGGGGGAATCTTAAGGGCACTGATGACAGGATATGCTTGATATAAATATGAATTGCAAGCTCGAATAAAATATATTCTAGCTATAATGACTTGAATCAGCGGTGTAAGCAAGTAGGTCAGGCCTTGCCCTAATTCATACCTATTCATACAGGTACATCAAAACTGTCTCCGACATAGCTCGGGATATGGAAGGGGAGCGCGATCAATACTAGCTCCCTGCATGTAAGCCACCGACCTAGTGACTTTTTATGTGGCTACCTCGGTATTGATTTTATATCATTGGATATATGGGACGCTAATTGTCGCTATACGCTTCGGATCATATGTTTTGCTTACTTGGTCTTAACTATGCCCACCATCATTCAAATATTAACATGATTCTTGGAAGGCGGTACTATAGTCATCTCATCAGAAAACATATTTCGTAGTATTCACGGGCAGGTTACCCCCCTCCCCCCCTCATGAGAATATGTTTTTTAGCTCAAATTTTATACTGTCAACTTGAAAAAATGTGGTGTGTTAGCATTTACTCTATTAGGAAGTACGAGGTTTCGGGCAATGAAGTGAGAGCCCTTGGATGTTGTTACATAAACAGAAATCTCGAAGTTCAATAGATGATCTAACTAGTTGCGAATGAGCTCGGGGGTAGCGAGGCTTACGACGCCAAAAACTGGGTAAAGAGCTATTATTGGTAAGAGGCTTGAAGCTGTTATGAGCTCGTCTTAGTATAATTGCTGGGTTGAATACTTAATGGTTCGGCCATTAGTTAGACTCAAGAGTTTGCTACGGCTCTCTAGTATATGGAACACGCATTTATTCTTACTAGTGGCGTTGCCCGCCCGCGCAAGCGCGTACGGGGGAAAGGGGGAAAATGGCAAAGGAAAATGTCGCCAATTGCGGGGCGATTCTAAGGATCTGATTGGTTGGAAAAATTGTGGCGGTACTAATAAAATACGGAATGTACCTAAATTCAAAAAACATCTGGTGCGTCACTCTAAGGAGAGTGTGCTACACAAGAATAGTCTGGTGATAATTAACGTTCGAATGAAAGCTCCAGGCATCCCGCGGGCCCGCATTTGGTTTACATGATGATAATTTTCTTTTCGGCTGTGTTCTACCATGTATATTCGGGATGTAGCCAAAATATCAACCAAGGCACCTAAGGTAGTCTCGTGAGATCCTTAAGCCTGCATAAATGGCCTCTTTTTAATTTATATATCAGGTATTTCGTGCGTCCGGTGCCCGGTTGACAACAAGTCAGGGCTGGAGTCATTCGTTCCCTGCAGCAGGATGGAATAAGACGGGCCAACAAGAGTCAGTAGCATGTTTCGATGTTTCGATCTCTCTTAATATGCCCATATGATTTCATGCTCTTCCCATAGTCCAGTTGAGCCATATTTGAGCATATGTTTCCTTATTATTGAAGGCGAATACTACTCGTCAAAGAAAACGAACACAGCTCCCATAAGGTTTGTCGGGATTGGTTTCCCGTTTCCATCGGCGATGCTAGGTAGTACTCACAAGAATGAGCTGGCGGCCTAACCTGACCGACTGCTTATGAGTAACTGCATGTTTCCGTTCTCATTATCGTCCTTCCCCTCTCTTGCAGTTTTCGTGCGCAAAGGAGAGCTTCAAGCGGCATGTGCCACGAGGTGTGCCGTATCGACAACTTTGCCGTATTCGGCGACCCAACTCTCAATAGCTGTAGGTGGCATTGCGCATGCCGTCGGCAATGCCGGAATTATCATCGCTATTTTGTATACTTTACCATGTCACGAGGTAGAACCAAACACCATAACAACAACTTCGTTGTTACGCGAGGAATTGTCGAACAAACCGCTATACCATTAGAAAGTTATTTAGTAACAGATTTTATTCCATTACATTTTATATTAGATAGATAGAATATCTGACAGGAATTCTAACCTAACTATCGAGCCTCCAGTTCGTATACATACTAACATGTCCTTTGTTCTAGATATCTCATCTAGAATTCTGGCACGTTAGACCGGATGCAAATACAAGCTGTTGGGTATGGCGAGGTCTACCGGCCGGGACACTAGGTTTCCTCTCTTTTCTGCTGCCCTTGGTATCGGCCCTCCGTTATGTTGCCATCGTTCTAAAATTTATGTACTCCCTCGTGGTTCGCTTTAATCATGGCGCACTCGCAAGCTCGTGTAAGCGTTTCTACGTGCTCGCAGGCTTGCACGTGGGATCTTTCCGAAGTCATGTGCGCGCTAACGTAATTACTGAGGTATTTCGCAATGTATTTCCTTATCAGTTTTCTTATCAGTTTCCTTACATAATACAAAAAGTTTGAGCGCAATATTCCTTCGGAAAGATTATGTAATAAACCCCTCTTTTGATTCAGTAATCGTAATATTCACGAATGCTTCACTTACACAGCCCCAGCACGTCGCTAAGGGCTTGTCAGGCCCCCATTTGATTGATTAGGGGTGAAAGAGACTGTAATCTAAATAGAATGGAATAGTAAGTCCCTATAGACAAAAAACGCAACACAATAACCCTTCGTAAACTCAGGGCATAACGTCATATTAGTCAGCTGCTTAAGCTAGCCAAGAAGACTCTGGGGGTCAAAATATGATTCATAGTTGTTCATTCTCGAGTCACTTCTCGTCTTGTCTTGATCATATCATCAGCACAATGGAGGTTCTGCGCCTATGCGAAAACTTATACGAAACCCGTCTCGTTATGGCTAGATATAGATTAGTATGCCGAAAGGCAGACTGTCAATCGATTTGTTTATTTAATTATCTGTGTCACTCTCCTACGATGGAATTGACTTGAATATTCGTATAATAATAACTATTGCTAACAACGATACTCTTAATCACGATACTCAATCACGACATACAAGGACTAATAGCCAGCATGGTGGACACAACGACGACGAACACAAGCGCTGTGTCGGACCAACCGCCCCTAACTATTGCGAAACCCCCTTCCTTCTGTAGACTCTGTAACGCAGAATTGAGTGACCAGCAAACGTGGAAAGCCCATCTCAAAAGTGACGAGCAGTAAGTTAATTCCCATACCGTACCTAAAAACTGTTAAGCTAATGCTTCGATCGCAGTGTCTACAAGCTTCGACTAAAGGTAGCAGAGCCCGGCAGCGTCACATCCCCGCCGCCAGCTCCTTCAACAGACGCAGATCAAACGAAAAGCACAGCGCCGTCGCACGCCCGAAGGAGAGATGAACCTGATGTTGGTGCCGACCAAGACCAAGATGCCGCCAGCGACACGGAAGACGAAACAGGAGATGAACTAGAAGACGAATTAGAAGAGCCATCGGCACCAGATTTCGATTCTGGCAGTTGTCTCTTCTGCGCGCAAGAGTCCAACGTATTAGACGACAACATGACACACATGGCCGTTGCACATGGCTTCAATATCCCGTTCCAAGAATTCCTAGCCGTCGACCCCGAGACGGTTGTCGAATACTTACACTTTATCATCTTCGGCTATCGAGAATGCATATGCTGCGGCACGCGGCGGAGTACCATCGAGGGCGTTCAGCAACACATGGTAGCCAAGGGCCATTGCCGATTTGACATATCCATAGAGACCGAAGAATTCTACGAAATGCCCCAATCTGAAAACGCCGTGATCGAGCAGGCGCAACACGGCGGTAGCACGCCGGTACGCTTACCATCGGGAAAGCTCATCTCGCATCGGAAGAATCCCGACAACCAAGATCCCCAAGCCAAGCCTCGGCCCGCTCGCCGAGAAACACCAGATCGGCAACCAACTCGTCCTCTAGACTCGTTCACCTCACGCCCGGGGACCTCCTCGACTCCCAGCCTCGAAGTTGCCCAACGGGGAGGGAGCGGAAGCGGAAGCGGTGAAATCGTGCGTAGTAGCGAGGCTATACTTGCTGCGCAGCTGTCCAAGCTGAGAATAGCGGGCGATAGAATACAGCACAAGGAAGAGAAACGGAAACGATGGAGGCTGGAACGAGCGCAGAACATCATTTCGCTCAAGCGTTTTAAGCTAGATAGTGCTGATGGTCGGATGGGTCGCCAATTCTAGGGTGAAGCTAGTTTACGTGACGGGTACACATGTAGGAAGGTTAGCTATTGCCTTATATAAGGTGATGAGGCCTACTTACTATTGACTGGATCTATTTGAATCCAATTGAATTAATAGTAAAGTTATACCGTCCTGAGTGATAAAATGGAATAAGTTCGGAGTTATAGTTATAGGGGTAGTTATGCACTTTGAATGTATATCACAATAAACGAACCACGCGATCGTGCTTATAACTTAGAACTGATTGACTATCATAGAAAATCTAACAAACAGAATAAAAAATGTACCGTAAACCATTCCTAGATGGTAACCTGCAACTCCAGTATCCCAGTACTCATATACAAGTTTACACAATCTAACAACAATAAGAAAATATTTATCCTCTCGTACACATTTCTCGTCTCGTTCTTTGCACACAACTTCCTTAGCTCTTAGCATCTTTAAGCTAGAGCGCCATCCACAATCATTCCCGCCAAGTCCTTCATAGATGTCCTAGTGTCTAGCAGGTCAAGCATGCTGATGTCTGCTCCGAAAGCAGTGTTAAACCAGTTGCGTAGCTCTGCTGCGATCAAGCTGTCTACACCGTAGTCGGCGACAGTGCGGTTTGCGTCTACTCCCGACACGTCGATGAATAAGACTTGCGCAACTGTTGCTACGACGGCAGAGGTGACCAAGGCTTGAGTCTTGTTGCGCTCCTCGGGGCCCTTTGCAATAGCCTCTTCGAAGCTTTGTCGGAGCTCTGCAGTGGCCGAGTTACCGTGACCCTTGTTCTTGCCTTGCGAGCCGTCGTCGTCATGATGTCTCTGCGCATCTTCGAATGCTCGCATCACCTGCGCCACTCGCGCATCGCTGTACCAGCGGGGAGTAGGGCCGATGTTGCCGTTGTTAGCAGCCATCTCCTCTAGTCTCTTGTCCGCCATCTCGCGGGGGTCAAGGCAGGTGATAATGGTAGAGCCCGATAGAGGGTCTTCTTGAATACCACTCCAAGACTCGGCCTCTCCGTCAATCTTGTTGTTGAGGAAGGCAATCTCGAGGTACTTCAGGAACTCATGTTCAGTCACACCGAGAGCCTTGTTACGCGCCATCAGGTTGAGAGTAGTAGTGCTCGTGCTGAGGAATCCCACGTCCGTAATAAGACCGAAAGAAGCAGTGGAAGCGGGGAGGCCTTGGCTTCTGCGGTATCGTGCAAACATCTCTTGGAAGTTGTTGGCGGCCGTGTAAGCGCTCTGGGTAGCAAGAGCTAGGACGGATTCCAGGGAGGTGGTCATGACGAAGAAATCAAGAGGCAACGACTTGGTAGCTTCGTGTAGGTTGCGAGTTCCGTGAACCTTGGCGGCGAGACCCGAAGTCCACTGCTCCGTGCTGAGCTTATCGAATGACAAGTCCTGGTAGGAGACGGCAGCGTGAACAACACCCTTGATAGTCTTGTCTTGAGAGTATTTTAGGAAGACGCGGCGGACGTCGTCGGCTTTGCTGACGTCGCATCGCACCGAGCTCACCTTGATACCTCGAGTGTCTAGCTGAGCCACAAGAGCCTGGGCTTCGCTGGACTGGGCTCCGCTCCTGGAAAGGATGACGAAGTCGCAAGCACCGCGCTCAACCATCCATCGGACGATGCTCCTTCCAAGACCTCCGAGACCACCAGTGATGATGTATCGCGCCTCGGGATCGAACTTGGCACGGGGGACGGGTGGTACCATCTTGACGAGGGCGTCGGGGTTCTGGAAGGTGACAACTAGCTTACCGATATGGGTACCCTTGGAGAAGCCGAGGAGGACTTGGTCCAGCTGGGACACGTCCGAGGATGTGACAGGCTTAACAGGCCCGATGTGTCCAGCGCGGTAGTGCTTGTCAACGGATTCCATCAGTAGACGGGCCATCTCAGCGCTAGCATCCATGACGACACCCAAGTCGAAAGACGAGAAGGTGGCGCTCTTCTGGAAAAGCTCCAGAGCCATGGTCATCGAGTTCTGTACGTCGACACGTCCCACATCTACATACCTTCCTAGAGGTGCGACAAGTTTGAGCGACTCGTGTAGCATGTCTCCAGTTGAAGTACCGAGGATTACGTCGAATCCCTTACCACCGCTGGCTTCGATGAGTCTGGGAATATCCTTAGGGTCGCGCGAAGAGAAGATGTGCGATGCGGGGATTCCTGCCTTCTCTGTTAGGTAGCGAGCCTTGTCGGCGGTACCAGCCGTAGCAAAAATTTCGGCTCCCTTGGAGCGGGCCAGCTGGATAGCGCAGAGACCTAGACCACCGGTGGCTGACTGGATGAGAACCTTCTCGTTCTTCTTGAGCTGGGTAGCGTGCTCGAATGCGTATATAGCAGTCATATAGACTAGAGGCATCGTAGCTACTTCGACAAAGTCGTCTCCCGCCTGCATTCGCTGGACGTGTCTAGCTGGCGTGCGCACGTAGTTGCCAAAGTGACCCTTACCCATACCGTAGACCTTGTCACCGGGACGGAAGTCGACGACGTCAGCGCCTACCTTGTCGACGACTCCAGAGAACTCTGAAGAGAAGTTGTTCATGTCGAAGCGACCTGCCGAGATGGCAAGGTCCTTCCAGTTAAGGCCGACAGCAGCAACCTTGACTTGGATCCAGTCCGCGGGGAGAGGCTTCCACATCTCCTCGTACGGCTTGAAGTATAGAGAAGACAGGATACCAGGGGTCTCGAATGCAGCGCGGACGGGTCCGTGGCGGTCAAAGGGCAGCATCTCGGCGCGACTCGGCGACATCTCTAGCTTCTCGTAAAACTCACCAAGCGCGGTGTCTGGCGCCACTCTGCTTACCCAGAGGCAGCCATCCTGCCACACGAACTCGTGGTCTTCGCTCTCGCCGGTAGACTTGCCCTGGAGCGCGAACTCCTGGTCGATGATCGACTTGGCAAGGTTAGGGTCTCGGACATCGCTAGCGGGGTCCACGTCGACAAACAAGAACTTGGATGTCGGGTTCTCCGTTCCGATGGTGCGCAGAAGACCTGCGGCAACACCGGCGTCGGGGTTGGTTCCCTTGACGATACCAGTGCTAGTAATAGACACCGTGCTCGAAGCATTGCGGACGATGTTCTTAATCGTCTGGAGGTGGTGCTCGTTGGCCTCGATCATCAAGAAGTCGTCTTCCAAAGAAGCGATGACGCGCGAGTTGGGAGGTAGGTAAGCGCTCTGGGAGATGGGAAGAATCTCGGAAGCAATCTGGCGACGCTCTAGCTCAGCACCAAGCTGAGTTAGGATCTCGGGCTGCTGGTTAGAGTACAGAAGGTACACCTTGGATTCAGTAGTCTGGAGGGAAAGCTTGGGGCTGTCGGTCTCGACGGCAGTAGCGACGATAGTAGAAGCCGTCGTGTAGGGGGCGGGGTAATCATCTAAGGAAAGGTCTGTTCCCGAGAAGCCAGCAGCCTTGAGGGCAGAGTTCCACTGGTCTAGAGTCAAGAAAGGACTTTCGACACGACCGTCGGGGATACCGCTCCAGTAACCAGTAAGGTTACCCAACACAAGACCGTGTCCGATGATGGTCCTCGTGTTCTCAATCACGATGAGCTTACCACCGGGCTTAAGGAGTCTGCGGCAGTTGGTGAGAGTCTCAGAGATGCTAGCCGTGGCGTGCAAGCACTCAGAAGCAATTACAACATCGTAGACGGGCTCGAATCCCTGGGTCATCGGGTCGTTCTCAATGTTCAAAACGGAGAAGTTCATGTCCCTATACTTAGCCATAGCCTCGCGCGCAGCGGATAAGAAACCGCTTGACACATCAGTGTAAGTGTACTCCTTGTAGCGCTTGATACCGTTGTCGTTGGCAAGCGCCTTCATGATGATACGGGTAGCACCACCAGTTCCGGCACCAACCTCAAGAATGTTAAGACTGGGCTCGATGTGACCAAGAGCCTCGAATAGCTTCAAGACTTGTGGGTAAGCACCAGTCATGGTAATACCTTCCTCGTACAAGGATGTAAGCATGCCGTTGGGAACAACGACGTCGAGACCAGACCTGCGCTCGTACAGGATGTCGTCAATGTTGTTGAAGAGCTCCCTGGCAATTCGGACATCAGAGCAGTGCTGGTTTTCTTCGACTAGCTGGCTGATGAGCTGCTGACGTTCGGCGCTCGACAGCTGCTTAGCCTCCTTGACGTAGTCGTTGTCGTCGTCCATGCGCTTGCGCACCCACTTCATGAATTCCCGCTGGTTTTCGGCTGCGGTTGCCAAGTTTATCTTGTCACCGTAGCGCTCGAATATGTCTACAACCATCAGAGTAGCCAACCTGTCAAAGACGTCAAACAGGTAGCACTTGTCGACGTTCTCCTGGGGCGGAGTGAAAAGCTTTCCTGCCTGCGAAGTCTTGAGGCTGCGGACGTCAGGCTTCCAGGAGAGACGCATCACGGGGGCGCTGAACTCCTTGCCATTTTCTTGCGAGCTCTGCTTCTCGGTGTAGCTGATGCAGCGAAGCTGAGGCAAGTCCATAACAACCTCGCCAGACTGGTTCACCAGCTGCATCTTGGCATAGGCTCCTCGCAAACCCTTGAGCTCACCACCGGCGATGGCGGTTCCCCAGCTCTCAGTGTTACCATTCTTCAAGTAAAGCTTGTCAATGTGAGTCGGGACATACGCGGTGTGAGTAACATTAGTCTGTCCTCCGTGGCAAGCGATGAGACCCAGCTGGAAGATGGCGTCAAGAGATGCGGGGTGGAGCGGGTAGCTTGACTCGCCTCCCTTGATTGTACCGGCTGTCGTGTCAAGAGCGACCTTGGCTACAGCTAGCTTTTGGGCGGGGTCAGCTTGGATCTCGCGCAGACCCTGGAATGCAGGTCCGTAGCCTAGGCCGATGTCCTTAAACGTCTTGTACCAGGCGCGAGTGCTGACGGCCCTGGCATCCATCTCGGTGGACATCTTCTTTGATGAGACGGGACCGCCAATTTCAACCTTGACGAGACCGGAGCAGTGCTTAGTCCATTGGTCTGAGTCTCTCACGACGGAGCTGATAGTGAAGCTCGTCCAGGCGGGGGCCTTTGCGGTAGCCGTATCGACGAGTTCCAAGCTAATGAGAACTTCAACTCCATAGTCATCATCCGGAATGCGCAGCGCATTGCTGATAGAGACATTGCGCAGGGAGAATCCGGTGATGGGGAAAGGCTCAGGGAATTCGTTGTAAGCCCGGGAAGCTACTTCGACGGCCATGGCAATGTAGCCAGCACCAGGGAAGACTGGGTGAGGCAA